CATAGTTTCACGGGCGATAAACTAGGTTTATCGGTTGTAAACAATAGTTTGCGGACTGTAAATTATAGTTAAAAAAGTTAATCCATATTTGACATCAGTAAACCATAGTTAGCCCGAAAATCTATGTTTTACAACCGTAAACTATACTTTTTTTTTATACTTTCTACTAATCATTTGCGATTGCAAAACATAAATTATCTGATAAATACAAATTCATGATTTGTAAATTATGGTTTACAGCTTTTAACTATAGTTAAAAATCTGATAAATATAGTTTCAAGATATGTGAAACTATGATTAACAGATTAACAACTCTAAGCAATAGTTTTCGATTGTAAATTATTGTTTATAAACGTGAATCTATGTTTATTTACCAAATCTATTATTAACGTTTTATTACAGACAGATAAACTTAGATAAGCATTCGTAAACTATAGTTAACAACCGTTAAATATAGTTTTACAGATTAAAACTATGGTTAACGAATTGTCAACTACATGTATAGTTCATGGTTTGTAAATTATAGTTTACAGTCGATAAACCTAGTTTATACTTGTAAGTTGTGAAACTATGTTTAGCTCATTTGTGAATTTGGCGTGCCATAGACTACAATGTGAATTATCATTCTAAAATTACATATTTAAACACTGCACCTAAAAAGTAACTGAAATCGTTTTGACGTTACAACGTTGAGTACACTGTAGCATACCTGACGTTGCGTCAACACGTAGTGCATTCGGATTATTGTACACAATAACCCGAATTAGCCGTAATCAATATTTTATGTCATATTATTAAACCTTTGCTACTTACTTTGAATTCATAAAATAAATGACTGAAAGGTAAAAATGAGCATATTAAAGATACATATCAGAGATATCAATGAAACAGCGCATAAGGGGAGATGTGCTTATTGGTTTCACATAAATTATAAAACCTGAAATTAAGTAAGTGTAAAATTTGTCTGTTTTTATAACTTGACTATTATATAGAAGCTTCGATTGTAGATTTAATTTCTGCATGCAAAATATGACATCACAATCGTATTCGTTTACAATCAGTAACAGAGTTTGGCGATACATCCAACGTACATCAGTCTAAAATACAATTCTTTTTAACAATCGTTATTTCAATATGAAAATGTAATTGTGGTATAGTCAGCATGTTGCGCAGTACATATAAGGTGCACAATGGAAATATCAACTATATTTTGCATTAAAAAATGTATTCATTTTCGGGATGACGATTATTTTTAGTACATTATTGATATCGGATAATTGTAATAATGATTAATAACTATATGTCGGGGACGATTATTATATATTTAGACTAGTCACGTGATGCGACAGTCACGTATTTTTAGCACATGCACTTGCAGTAATGATGTTACATATAAATATCACTAGTGTAAGGTCATAACCAAGTTAAATTTGGAAGTTTAGTTTATCAATATTTTCAACACGCATTGTATTTTTTAAAAAGTGCTGCGATCCTATCTAAATTCTGCAATTTCATTGTTAAAATTATATTTGTATGACCGAATGCTATATTTTTTTAGGTCAGCGGCATGAAATATTGATATAATTAAATTGTTTTAAAGATTTAATCAGAATCGCAGCACTTTTCAGATACCTTAATATTTCTAGAGTTGAATTGTAAAAGCTTACTATGATCCATAGAGTGTATGCCCTTGCACTAGATCGATTTATCAAGACACCCACATTACCCTCCTATGGGCTTGCATAAAAATATACGACAGCGTCATTTAAATATGTAATGTACAGAAAATATTGTCGTCATATTGGCAAGTATATTTCGATCAGTAACTTGTTTATAACTTGTTATGTGGGATTTAACTAACAATAAAACAACACGCTGTAGTAAGTTTTCATGCAGTTTGATGATTTTCTACTGATTAAATTAGTAAGTCAATTCATCTTGTGGTATTTTAAAGAAATGTTGTATGATGTATATTTTGTATGATGTCATAGTCAAGTTTTCCCATACATATTACGCATGCCTCCTTCTTGTACCTTAAATGTGCTGCCTGTCATTTCCTTTTTGCTCCGCTTTCTCCCCGCTAGAGGTTTTAATACACTTGTTTCATAAAAGATGCAAAAAAGTGCAAGCCTTGTTGTTATCCTTTAAAGGCAGAACGTTTATTTATTTCTTTGTATAAAGGTTTGTGATTCATAGATTTATATGAGAATTTAACAGTTATTTTGTAAAGCTTAAAGTTAATTGAAATTTCTCTGTATTGCTCATAACATGATAAGACATTTAATTTCTTTTTTCACATTGCAAATGTAGCTGTCGACGAAGCAGCAGATAAAGAAAGGAAGGCACTTTTGAGTGTCATGGATTTTGGAGGACAGTGTGCATACTACGCCTGTCATCAGGTCTATCTCAGCAGAAGAGCTTTCTATCTACTGGTGATAGACATGTCAAAACCGTTTGATGAGAAAGTTGACCCATCGCTGTGTGAACAAGAGGGGACTATGTTTGCTGACTGGACATATGGTGGTAAGAGACTAATATATACAATGCTTTTTGTTAAGAGAGTGATAGCCAAGCTGTTAAATGTATTACTAAAAATAGACTAAATTACGGAATTCTTTCAACGTGGTATTACCCCAAAATCATGATTGTGTTTATTCATGTCAGGGATGTTATGTTTTAATTCGTGCATACAATAAGCGCATTGCCAATTTTATAATTTACATTTATCAATTAATCCCGATAACTAACCATCATATTATGTCATTGTTGTTAATCTGATCTTAAATATTAAGTATTTGTTTTGTGTGTGCGTTGTGTTGTGAGTGTTTTTAAGATATACTTTGTAGCTTTTTTTTATTTTAAGCACGTTAGTAAATACTTTTTGTGTCGAATCCAGTATTTAATTTTTATCCTGCAAAAAAAACCCGGTGACATTTATATTAATGAAATAAGTATTTTGTCAGCCTTTCCCTTCAAAGTATTTACTTCTTCCCATTAACAATCTTGAAAACATCCGTCAGCCAAGGCTGTGGGTTGTAGGAGAGGCAGAGTGATGCACCGCGTGGCCAAAGTGCTACTTGTTGCTAGCGCTCTAGAGTGCTAGCAACTACGTTAGTTCAAATTCCTTGAATACGCATGCTCGGCTTCATGGTTGTGCATTCTGGGAAAAAAAACTGTTAAAACTACTATAGATAGACCGTACAATAACAATTTCGTTGTATCATGTTGTAGCATTAATAACTGTGTTTATTTATTGTGTAGCTTATACTTTAAATCTAACTACATATTTGTAGTACTTCAAATTTTCCGGAAAAAAGAAGTAAAGCCACGAAGGCGCACAATCGGCCCATACTTTTTTGTAAAATTTAACTGAAGTAAAAGAAAAAATTACGGTATGAATATTATCTACTAGTATCGAACTTCAAAGATCTACGTCACATTCTTTATTTGATGACGTCAAATTTGTACAGTAAAAGTCTAAACACGTGCACTTTGCTAATTTTTAGAAAGAATTAACGTTTTTTTTTCACCTTTAAATCAAAATTTGACCCTGGCCATATCCTACAAACAAAATAAAATTTTTGAAATTAAAAAGAGGATATAAACATTCATACACGAAGCATATTTTAATTCTGTTCGTCGGGTGTGGCCACATTGAAAACTTTACATTTCCTTCCACGCAAATCATCTGAAAACCGATCACCAAAGCGAATTTCCGGAAATATCTCATTTTAATATCAAAGATGATTTATTTTGCTTTTTATTAGAAAGAAAGGTATCTCAACGCAATTATCTGATTCAAAATATTTGATTTCTTTTTATAATAAAAAAATGTATATAGAAAACAAAAACCACATGCTATACAAAATATTAGGTCTACATGTGCATGTAGAGCTCCTCCACTACCTATCCCCCCTTATGTATCAAAGGAAACCAGAAGTCTACTGGTTTGAACGTATAACAAAGGAAGTGAAAAGTAGCAGTTGAAACTTGAAACTTTTCAACAGCAATAAATATAGAATAATGATCCTTGATAAAGTCACTTTTTTGTGGCAATATTGCAATAAGACTACAACTGTAGGAGTAGCTTTTCATTATTTTTTAAAGAATTTTCAATTTTAGTTACCATGGCGACAACATTCTTCAAAATTAATCAAAAAAAAAAAAAATAAAGACAACAATGTACCCTAGTGTAGTCTATCTGCATGCCACATTACATCATTATCAAATTAAAATTGTATTTGTAATAGCATTTCAAAATTATTTTACAGAAAATTGTAATTTTAGTGACCACAGGTACATCATTTATCGAAATCGAAAAACCAATGCACAGAATTATGTCTTAGTAAAGTCTACTTGTGTACTAAGTTATGCTGAAAACTGTAGGAGGAGTAGCATTTCTAGATTATTTCAAAGAAATTTCTATTTTTAGTAATTATGGGAACATCGACCATCGAAATTAATAACCGATGCACAAAATTATGTATCTTAGTGTAGTCTATTTGCATGCTAAGTGATACTGAAATCGGACTAAAACTGTAGGAGGAGTATCATTTTTAATGTATTTCACAAGAATATCTATTTTTAGTAACCATGGCAAAACCCTTCATCGAAATCGAAAACCAATGCATAGAATTATGTATCTTTGTGTGGTAGTCTACTTGTGTTCCAAGTTATATTGAAATCAAACCAAAACTGTCGGAGGAGTAGCATTTTGAAAAATTGTTTACAGTCAGACAGCTAGACGGACGGACGCCGGACGCATTATTATTGCATAAGCTCTTCTGGTCTCTGACCAGTAGAGCTAAAATTCGTGAAAACCCCGATATATTCATTTCACACAAGAAACGCTGACAATATATTATAATGTTTAGTTGGCTGAATCTGTGGACAAAGCTTTTTCTGTCGTTTATGTTATCGGCATACAAAACAATGTACACGAAATTAAAAAAAAGTTACGAAGGTATTTCATTTCTTTTTTATCAATATCAAGAGGTTGGCAAACATTCAGGGAGTAAACACAGGAAAATAATTGGAATCTAAACATAATTTCACCAACCTTTTTTTATACAGAGTACATCCTATTTTGGCTGAAGTCTGTCCACACCTATTGTGAAAGTAATGCTCCAGTTGTCATCATAGGATCTCATTTTGAAAAAGTCAAAGGCCAGGTATTTTTGCAAATATTTTTTTAAAGTAATTTGAAATCATGCCTTCCATTCAATCATAGAAAAATAATTCATTGCTAAAATAATTACACAAACTTTTTAAAAGAAGAAACACATTTTACGTATAAAGTCATTTCTAGTAAAAAAAAAGATATTATATGTATAAATCTATAAGTCTTCTGCAGAATTCTGATACGTTCTACAACAAAATACTGGATCACCTGCAGTTCAACAAACATTTGAAGGGACACTTGGACCGGAAGAGGTGTTTTGTTCTTGGTTTCCATACAGATGGTACACCTTTTTATGATACACTTTCTGACTTAGAAAAGTGTATTATTGAAATTGCAAGAGAAGAAAAATGGAAAGAAAACATCCCCAACGACTGGGCTTTATCTGAGGTTGTTTTTCGAGAATTGAGAAAAGAAAGTTCAAAAATGATATCGTTCGAGGAATTATCCAAAAAGTGTTATGGCAGAAATAAAGCAAAAAGTGCGCAAATGAGAGACGTCCTGAAATTTTACCATGATACAGGGGTCATTCTTCACTTTAATGAGGGTGCACTTTCTGACACTGTAATTCTTGATATCCAGTGGTTCATTGATTCCTTCAAGAATATCATCACAGACCCAAATCATGTCAGGGATGTTGTACAAAACAGGCGTGATTGGTTAGATTTTTACAAAAGTGGTCATTTATCAGACACACTGTTAACCAACATATGGAAATTGAGAAACTTTTGGAATAGAAACAAGTACAAAGAAGACCTTCTCCGATATATGGAACGCCTTGGTTTAATTGCTGTTGGCAGAGTTGCTCATTATATACCTTGTACGAATAAGCGTACATTTGGATGTGCTGAGGAAAACTATTTCCACTCTTTGGAATACAAAACGTCTGTGTTGGTCTTCCGATTTGAATTCCTGCCATATTTTTTCTACTTCCGTCTGATCGTTTCCTGCTTGAAAAGAACCAACAGAGAATGGAGAGTTTTACAAGACAAAGGACTTTGCCTTTACAAAAACGTTGCATGTTTTGCGTATAAGCAACATGCGGTAGCTTTGGCCGTGAACCCTTCCTCCATACAACTTCAGGTTTTTCAACCAACAAATACTCTGGTTTCCAAAAGAGTTGTGTTGGAAGTTCGTAACATTATCACAGATTTATTAAATGATTTGCTTCAGAGTTTTCATAAAAAAATCGACATGTACACTGTTGGTTTCCAATGTTCAAAGCAGGAAGTGTTTCATGAATTTGATGATTGCTTTGTTGAAGAAGAAGAGCTGTTAAAGAAGGGGACTTTGCTGTGTCCAAACCATGAATTGAATAACAGCCACATGCTACGTGAATCAATTCTGCTATCTTACTGGAATCTGGTAATCATCACAACGTTCTAAGTATATGTAAACATGCACACAATAATTTTTTGAATACTTTGCATTAAATAAAATAATTTTTCACGTGAATTTGCAATCAGTTACAGAGAATCACACAAATCTCATATGAATTGAAATTTGAACACTAAAAACAATCAACTTTTTTTCAAGCCGCAGTACTTGAATATTCAAAAATTTTGGCATTAAAACGTTAGACCTTTAAAAAAAGTTTTGTGTTTATTCCACGCATTTTGTTCATTCCATAACGCTCATTTCATATATCAACTCATATTGAATCTATCTTTAGTTTCATATCATAGTACTAAGGATAAAAATTATACGCAGATCATTACATGACTCAATAATTGATCAGTTAGTGCCCATTAATTAAACATCGTGACTATTCATTGTGAACATGATATAAAGTTTCGCACACAAATATATCCATGGACGAGAAAATGATTGTCAACAAAATGTATAAAATAAAAAAAATTAGACATTTTAAATATATCCATTTAATGCCTTCATTTTGCAGACTAGTTATTGTAGTTCTGTGCATATGTAAATATTGCCATACACGTGTGAAAAAAACAAAATAATTCAATTGAATGTTTAAAATAATATTATTAAAATTTCTTTACATTCTTAAATGCACATGTATATGAAATTTTATTTATTTTGAAAGAAAATAGTTTATTATTAATAGTTGTAATATCATTCATATGTTTGTTTCATATTTTTTAGGATGTACTCGCAGAGTTAACGGGTAATTTTTTTTTTCATTTTACCATGTACTTGCCTCTGAATTCATAAACGACCCTGATTTTTTTTAGAGTGGAATTCTATGCATTTCTTTTCTACTTCAGACCCAGACGCTCTTGTTGAAAAGGGGGCTGGAAGGAAGCTCCCAGAACCTGAAATGAGAATATATAGATTTCAGTGTTTTGAAAAGCTCACAAAAATCGGCAGAGAAGCTCTTCAGGGATACTTTGACAAAGTCTTTCCTCCGGCAGAGCTATTTATGTTACTTCAGAGGGAGAAAGACAATTTTCATAGACAACTTAATAAAGACCAATGTGATCTACTGTTTCCAGGTATTCTGGAATTTAGATTATTATCGTAACCATTTCTTCTCATTGTTATCACTATGTATATAGATCTGATCAAAGTTGTTTGAGAGCTGTACTCATTATTTTTTTTTTATTACAATCATGCCAAGAATTTCAACATTTACAGCCAAAATTATCACAGATCTTTCTTGAATGATAGGGAAACCTTCAACTAGAAGATTCATTTTTTTCGATTCATGTTAATATTCAATATTTTGCAAAGATTCGGCGAATGTACAATTTTCTTGTTTTTTTGAAAGAAAAACAAAAGAAAGTCACACACATGTATAATTATGTTCATATGATATCAGTATTCTTTTTCTTTTTTTTACTTTTGCAACCATAGATACATATGCTCTTGCAATTCATTACATTTTCTATTACTTTTCTATTAAATACAAAAATCTTTAAATCTGAAAGAAATTGATTAAAATAGGGCAAAACTATAGAACACAGGACTACAATTACAACATTTGAATTGAAAGTATCAAAACTTAGTATGTGATTATTTTTATAAGCTAAGGTTTTAGTGACTGAGGATTACTTTAATCTGATTTATTCATTAACTTCTTTTGATAAAATAAAATTTTCAAATGTCAATTCATTTACCCGCCAACTTGTTTTCCTGGAAAGAACATTGTGAACATGTTTTCTTTCAAAACATTTTAGAAATTGGATTAATAGTATTCTTATTTTTCATCTGATCGTACAGTAGATAAATCAATTCCAACCTCGTCTACATTTGATGTGACCCTTATGTACAAACTGTTGAGGAACTACGGACCAAACCTTCCTTCCCCGACCAAAGGCTGGGGGAAGACACCGGAACCTGGACAGAAATCTCCAACTGATGACGTAGAGAGGATCCGAGTTTATAGGAACGAGGTGGAACATAAAACTCCGGCAACCAGTGTCATGGAGAAAGAGGACTGTCGTGTGAAGTGGAGAGATTTATGTCAGGTGATATAATATATGATATATCTAAATTAACATGTAACTATTGTAAGTCAAAATCCAGAAAGATTAATTTTAAAGTGTTTCCACCATTCGTATATTTCAATTTGAATTATGTCAAAATTATACAGTTATTCCTGCACTGCATTGTAGTGTATAATCAATTAGTTGGCACTTAGTGATTATATGTTGCTTACTACAAGAAACAAAAATCTTTCATCTTTTACAGGCATGAGAATAACATCCCAGCAGGCATTTCAACGTTGATTCAACGTTGAATCAACGTTGCACTTCAACGTAGAATCAACGTTGAATTTTGGTTGCATATGAAAGTTGAGGCAACGTTGAGACATAACGTTGTTTCAACGTCAATTTTCAACGTTGAATAAACGTTGAAAATAGGTTGAATTTTTGGTTGATTATTGGTTGATTTTTGGTTGCAAATGAAAGTTGAGGCAACGTTGAAGCTTCAACGTTGTTTCAACGTCAAATATCAACATTGAACAAAAGTGAACATTAGTTGAAATTAGGTTGAGATTTGGTTGAAATTTTTCGGATGTACAAAGGTTGATATTTGGTTGAAATCACGTTCAATTCATATTACATTTTGCTTTATAAACAAATACATTTCAAATTCTAATTAAAAATTTTATTCAAGTTGCGTAATATTTATATAAGTTGTTATCAAGTATTATATGATTGTGAGAGAATTAAATTTACATGTATTTTTAAGACAATCACAAATTCGGATTCAATCACTGAATCTCAAAAATCACTGCTCGACAAAATTTATATTCCTTGGGAAAACTGGGTCACAATAATCACATCCAGGTCCTTCAAAGTATGCGTATGCCCTACACTTCTAAGTTCCACAAAGTGGCGGATCCATTGATTTATTAAGTCCCACGAATGAAAGAAATGAACAGGAGAATCCACCCTCTAAAGCAATAGCCTATTGAAAAAAGAAATAAAGATGCTAAAGCCATTTGTTCTATAAAATGTACGTACACATGTAACACGTTATATCAAATGATAAAAATAAATATACATGAATGATTTAAAAAATCAGACAAAGGAATTTATTATACCTCATATAAATAAACACAAGTAAAGAGGAATCTGATTGGCTGAAGCAGTCACGTGACCGTCGTGTTCGCCCTGCAACAAAACTTCGTGTTTCCCGCATTCGGTTCACCTCGCCTGACTACGCTATCCTACATCTAGATGTAATCAACTGAGGTGTTCAGAACGTGTTTCACGTCGTGTTCCCCGATTGTGACGTCGCAATGCGGCGAATGCGATGATTTACTAGTATACTGAATTCGATTGTTTAAATCTTTGAATAATTATGTCGATATAAAATCTTAAAGTATAAATAGTTAGAAAAAGTGTTTCCATGAGTGGCGAATGAATGTTACTACACTGCAGTGTGTAAATCAGAATGACTTGTCACGAAGGTTTTTTTTATGAAACGCTAGTGGTGTGACTTACACCTATTGGTATTTCATTTTGTTCTCATCAAATGTTAACTTTATTTATTGGATTCTCTTTATATCTTCTGCATTGTGCTTGATTCGGTATAATAAAATAATTATTGCATGAATGTTCAGTTGCCCTCGGGGAATATGATTTTTCATGGGCGAAGAAATCTTCATGTCTCCCTCACTATCATGCAATAATTGTATAATATTCCGGTACGTGGATTTAATTAACAGGATTAAAAGAATTAATGTTGACTTTATGTCAAAATTCGTATGAGTATGCTTTGTCCTCGGGGAATATGATTTTTCATGGGCGAAGAAATCTTCATGTCTCCCTCACTATCATGCAATAATTGTATAATATTCCGGTACGTGGATTTAATTAACATGATTAAAAAGAATTAATGTTGACTTTATGTCAAAATTCGTATGAGTATGCTTATAAATAATTAATACAAAAGAAAAATGTTATAGACATACATATACATAGTGTACTTACAAAATGTTGCATTCCTTTGTATAATTTTCACGGGAGAAGAATCTGATGCAATCAAGGCTGACTATACAATCAATTCCCTGCATAACTGGTTGATTGAACCTTACGGCGAACTACAATTAGTTAAATTGTATAATATGTTAGTATACTAGCTTATATTTCATAACCAAATGAATATTAACAAAACACATAACACGAACCAAGGATGTGCATTTCACGCAGATTTCAAATATACTTATGAAACAAGAATTAAATGATGAACAGATACTAAAAAACTGAATTTTTTAAATTCATTAAAAGGAAATAATACTTACTGAGCAGAAGTTGATATTCCAGCCTTAATCCCTGTGTATATAGCTTGAAAAACACATAAAATATGAATAGCAAAGAAACGCGCACTTTTTGTCCATCAGTTGAATTCAAATTTTGACCTAGATAAGCTGCAAACAGCTATACTCTGCCCAGCAAGAAAATTGCGTAACAAGGTTATCCTGACACTGAAACTGGCCAACTAAGCGAGAGGCACTCCTTATCTGATATCTCGAAGGTTTTGTGGGAGTGGATCTTAAGTAATTCAACTTGACCGGGGTTAATTGTCAGTGTGAAAATTCTTATGTGTTTATTTGATTTTTTTTTTTTTTTTGTGAAAGAAAGATTATAGAATTAATACACACAGAAAACACAATCTAATAAAATAAGCTTTAAGATTTCTTATATTCGTTCTGTATAATCTGTGCAAGAGTATACGGCACGGATCCATATGAGTCTTATTTTGAGAATATTAATTCGGAATAATTATTTTTTTAATTCTATAGTAACATGAAATTACAGTGAGATGTTGGATAAAGATGTTAAATTATTTATTAAATGCTTATATTTGACATATTTTATCAATATATAAATATATGTCCAAAAAATAGCATTAACAATTTTTAAAGAAAAAAACACCTTATTTGAAACATAATTATAATGAAGTGTAAAATGTATATGCCATGCTTCATATAAATTCATATTTAAAATTTTATAATGGTACTAGCAATTAGCACAACTCTTTTGAGTAAATCAATTTATGATGCATCCGTTTCATTTATTAAGTATAGTTATTATATATATAACATTTTCTAACAATGCATACAGCTTTGTGTATATCGCGAAAAATCGCATGTATTAGAGTTAAATTAGACACTTTTATATTTTGAACCTAAAAACTAATGTGTTCAATATTCGTTACCCCTTAATTGTTTTCAACGTTAAATTTTCCTAACTTTCTTAAGTTGAAAATATGATGCATCTTGCACGTTGTTTCAACGTTGAAATCAAGTCAGTCAACTTTGATATTTTAAACCTTGTTTTAACTCTACAATATCAGAAAATACTCAATGTTGAAAACATGTTGAATCTAATCTTTAACGTTGTTTCAACGTTGAAATATCGACGAACATTCAATGTTGAAAATATGTTGCAGCCTCAACGTTGTTTCAACGTTGAAATATCGATGAACATTCAACGTTGAAAATATGTTGCAGCTTCAACGTTGTTTCAACGTTGAAATATCGACGAACATTCAACTTTGAAAATATGTTGCAGCCTCAACGTTGTTTCAACGTTGAAATATCAACGTACATTCAACTTCGAAAATATGTTGCAGCTTCAACGTTGTTTCAACGTTGAAAAAAGGTTGAGGATTCAACGTTTAAACCTCAACGTTGAAATAACGTTGAAATATAGTTGAACAACGTTGCAACCAATATTCCACCTCCTTTCAACGTTGAAACAACGTTGCGTGCCTGCTGGGATCTTTTCTTGCAAGATGTGGTGATTTATTAATGTCTATTTCTCTCTTATTGATGGAAATAATAGTATTATGACGGCCAAATTTTTATATTTCCGCAAGAGAGACAGATATATCTGTCAAATGTCTTGTAATTTCAACCAATCAGTTTTATTTTTATAAAAGCCAAAACAGAGAAGTTTCATAAAAGCAAAATATTCTACAATATTATTTTCGCAGGCAATACTACGACTCAGCGCGGGAAGCCTGGAACAAGACATAATGAACCTTGGACACCAAGACTGAGACAGTGATAGCGTCATGATACGTTTATAACAGAGATCTACATTACCCTCAGACGTTAACTCCCACAATAACATTTTTCTGTTGTATATTTTCTTTAGTGAAGGTCTTTGTGTTTAGTTTCCTATACAAATGTTTAACTTTGTAGTCAACAGACCGATACTGTTGCTTTGAACGCACGATGGACATTTAAAGGAATTACACATTTGTCTCTCCGTGTATTTGTCTGTCTTTGTGTGGTCAAATATTAATAAAACAAAATGTAAATTCTCCAGGGCACCACCCACCCTCGATGTTTCTGTGGCAAGTGTTTGCTCTGCTCTTATCTTGAATAGTTTATTGGATGTTTGATCTGGAATATTGATCGTTTTCGCCCTAATTTTCTTGTATATTTTCGCGTATGTAATAAACAAATTGAAATCGTTTTAAGAATACAAACTACTCCACAACAAATGTCAATATTAAAACAATGTATCAATAACCCATTGTACTTACATGTTAATGTATATTTTATAATGATGTTTTTAAAAACATTGTATTCAAAGAAAAGGTTAAATGTTTGGCATACTTGTCATCATTTTGATCTTTTGATTTTAATGATTGTATTTTGGCGATTTCCCTTATAACCAGGCTGAACTTATTGTTAGTGTGTGTTGTTAAGAATTTTTTCAATGAGATTTTCAATTTTGCCTACCACATGAACTTTTACAGAATGCAGGAAAATTAATATAATAAAGGGATTGAAGCTAACAACACTTTTTTGATATTATAGCAATTTTTAACATTTTCTATTTTCTATTTTCTCATAAAAATGTATCGTTATAGAAATTTCAATGTTATGTCAGTTAAAAAAATTATTGTTCGTCAGATATTATATGTTTCTTGTCAATGATTGAAATTTTCTTAATTCCTTGACCAGTCAACAGTTAATACTTTTAGCCAATGGTACATGGCTAGTTTACCAAGTGAGGAAATTTCTATTTTATTTTTTAGAAAGTCAAGGATCACTTCAATTTGAATAGAAAATTGACCTATTGGACCGGGCTTGGTTTATATCTCTACAAAAAACTTGTCGATTTCCTTTCTGATTAATGACAGGCTAAATACATTTAACAATTTTTTTTCCTAAATCTTCATTTCAGTGAGTAGAGGTAGATTTTCTGAGTTTGTTATCTCCAAATGTTATAACTGATATTTTTCTTTACTTGCATTGTACATAATGGTAATGTTTACTGCCTCTGAAATTCTATTCTTTTAATATGTCTAGGCTATATTGAGTGATATTGACAAAGACTCCTTCATAGACGTGGCCTCAGACGTCACCTTATATTCTTATATGCTGAAGTACTCTATCACTCTTCATAATGATCCAAGTTCGCAAGACAGTAGATCTATAACATTAACTAGATGCGTTCTTATTGCTGGTGCAACAAGCAGGTCTTCCGACCGCTTTTCCTTAGAACTCTATGCTGCGTCATCCCATGAAATAGATTTCAGCATTTTTTTTTTCGTTTACGTTCATTTAGAGCAGCCTCTCAACATACCTCATGATTATTACAAGTATTACTCAAAATATCTCAAAAATAGCTTTTAAAAATCGGCAAAATCCTCCATACGTGTTATAAAAGAGATAAAAGTCATTTGCAACTGAAAAGAGAAATAAACAAAGAAAAACAATTTGAAAGGGCCCCAGCAGGATTCGAACCCCGACAGTAGGACAAAGTTCGGTGCGGTCATATCTTTTCAATACATGCACGTATTAAGATACTGAACACATATTTAGAATTCTCATAAGACACACTATAAACCCTGTAAATCCAAAAGAAAAATATTGAAAAACAAAAAAGTTGAGAAATGTGACTTTTTGAATTCACTTCCGTTTGCGACCGGAAGTGCCGACGACGAAAAATAAAGGTCGTTCCCCATAACGGAGTTCGATGTTCTATCACCTCAGTGAGTTTCACTTTCATATCTGTAGCCATTCTCGAGAAAACTCCTGGACAAAATGCCCTTTAAAAAAAACGAAATTCCCCAAAAATCGCGAACGGAAGTAAATTTTGAAAAAATGAAAAACATGTCTGGAGATATTTTCAAGATGCATCTTCCCTGAGAAAATCTTTGAAATCTGTCCACTCATAGCTGAGATATCGGCTGTACTATGAAAATTGAATAATAATAATAATAATAATAATAAAAAACAGAAGGAAAACAATAAGGTCTTCCGAAGGAAGTCGGAAGACCTTAATTAGACTGATGATGCAGGGGAGGGTAGCCGCAGTAGAAACTCTTCTAAAAGGTACGTATACTTCAGTTATTTATGTAATGTTATATGTTATAAAAAGTAATTACATGTAAATTTGCAACACATGTTAGTATATGATAAAATTTGACTATTTTTCAACTATTCAGTTGATTAGGCATATTGATTTTGATATTTGTATGCAACGAAAATAGTTAAGGGACAAATTGTCATAACTTTTTCCATTTTTTTGCAATTACGTATCACCGAAAAAGTCTTGTCATCAAATGGCAAAAACAATAATATTGAGAGTAGTTGATTAATTGAAAGCTTTTACATTGTGTTATAAAGTATCAAGGAAGTTTAACACACCAATTGTCAATCAATAATCAACATACTATAACGCATTTCTTAGAAGATATTATAATCAAAGATTAAGGTAGGATTCTTCTCTAGTTTCTGACTAGATGGAATATTCAAAGTACATTTGTTGATATGTCTTATATATTTAGATGTAAGGGATTTAAAAGAACATATTTTTCTTTCCTCATCGCAATTATACATTTCTAAATAGAAATGGTAAACTGCGTTTGAAAACTAGCAGGGACTATTTTTTTGTAGGAATGCTGGCGTATGAAAATATCTTCTTTTCTGTTTTTCAAAATCATTACAGAACATTGAATTTAGTTATAATTTTTACGCATTCAAAGACTAGACAAAATTTTTCAAATGTTAGTTTAAGGAGGATGGACCTTAAGCTGAAAAAATCCTGTCAATGAATTTTTTTTCGTATTTTTTATATTACTAATTGAATATGTACTTAACATTTAAAAACGGTCCTGTCATGGGATTTCTTGACTTATTTAAAATGTATCGCCCCACAAATATCGCCCTGTTTAGAGTGTGTATGGAGCTTAGATACTTTATGTTTACGGACCCATAACGGAATCCACAATGCGAATTTTTACGCACAAAAAATAAATATGATAGATAACACTATTTACTCAAATATTTCATAATATTCATAGTGTTAAATTTATCTGAAAGCAATTGTTTTAATTTTATATAGTATTTGGATGGGATAATTTCAGCCTGCATTTTTCAAGGCAGCTTCAACCGCAAAAACCTCCTTTGGAAAAAATTCTGTCAATAAATATTTTTTAATTTACGATTGAATGTCATCGATCAGTCCTTCATTGTAATTAATTACTGCATAAATATCACAGGGTGAAGCTTACCTTAATATCGCACAGGACATCGTTGAATTAGACGTAAGCATGATAAAAACGCTTCACGTTTGTATTTTCCGAGTGCGGGAAATCAATTGTGACGTCACACAAAAATCTAAACATTGAAAGTTATTTAATAAGAGAGAATCTCTGCTACTCAACTCGAAAAAATATTAATTTAAAAAATCTGCTTCAGAAATTTATCACGATACATTGACTGTGACCTGTTTATTATGAAATAAAACTGATCATGACGGGTATATAAACTTGATCTCGCTGCACTGAGACTTCAAACACTACGTCTATGACGTCACTGACGTCAGAGTGCAGGGTAAAGAGAAACAAATGTGTGAATGGGTAACTTCACAATATCTAAATAATGGCAAGATTTTTAAAACTTTCATTAATAATAATTTTTAAAATTAAATGTCTGAAAAACAATTTTGAGCATAAAATCTGTAAAAAGTATAATTTTTCTCTTTGTAAACGATCAAAACTTTTAGTTTTTGTATCATTTTGTACCTTTATGTGACAACTTTGCTATATGTGAAAATTGGAAAATCTTAAATATAGGAAGCATATAAAAAAAACTAATAAATCCTAAAAATTTAAGAAAAGTAGAGGAAATTCGGATCAACAAATATACACTTTATTTAAATCATCCATGTCAATTTGGTAATATCATCTAATAGGCCTTATATGGTGGTATCTTTTTATGCAAAAAAAAAAAAACAAAACAAACAAACATTCAATCTTTTGAGTTACAAGTAGGGATCGCATGATTG